ATTATTATTATTATTATTATTATTATTATTATTATATGTTTTGAATATATTTCTGCATACCAAAAAAGTTTTTTGCTTTAATTTTTTATTTTTAAAAATACTTCATGTTTCACGTTTACAAAAACATAAAAAACTAACGTGTAACTTAAGAAATCTCACTTTCAAAAGTGTCAAACTCAAAATTAATTATCAATAAATAGAGAACCTTTCCGACGCCACTCCATTGACTTGGCTAGAACATGAAACCTCACCTTTTTTTTTGATAAGCAAAAGAGAGCTTTATTGATGAAGAAAGCAGAACAAGCAAACCACTTACATCAATAAAGAGGGAAGTGCAAAAGCATCACCGCAGGCCTTAGCAATCCCAACTAGGTTGGCACCGCTAGGGGAGCAAAATCATCTGCTAGCACTTGACCCAAGATTGGCGAGAAACCAATCCAAAGAAAGCAAGAGAAAGGGAAAGGAAAAAAAGAAAAACCAGACCAGCCACCTAAACATTGACTAAACAGAAGAGAAAAAATAAAACAAAGAGCATGAAACAAACCAACTGCAATCCAAACTGACTAAACAGCAGAGGGCCTCAGACCATTCCAACTGCAGGACCAAACATAGAGCATAATTCTTCAAACTGATACAAACTACACAGCAGGCCAACAGACTAGAACCAAGGGAGCAACCAGCTCAGACCAGATCAGCCTTCCAAATATTCCCAAGAATTGGTGACAGACACCTTGGCAGAACACACACGGCTGCAGGCCAACAGACAGAACCAAGGGAGCAACCAGCTCAGACCAGATCAGCCTTCCAAATATTCCCAAGAATTGGTGACAGACACCTTCTGTCTTCACACTAGAAACAGACCAGCCAAACTCCTATGTGCATCTGCAACAGCAAACAACACAGAAGCCACAACAGAGAGCAGAGCACAGAAGCCAAAGGCCAAATGCCCCAAAAGCAGAGCACAGGGCAGAACACAGAAGCCAAAAGCCCCAAAAGCACACCCGAGATAATGCAGAGCAGAACACAGAAACAGAGTTCTCACAACAAAAGCAGAAAACACGCAGAGAATAACCAAGAAGGGAAGGCACACACAGAAGCAGAACACACACACAGAGCACTTGACAGAAACAGAATTCATCAGGGGCACCTCCTGGTCTGGTTGAAGTTAAATATAAAATCATGGATGGAATAAGAGCAAGAGTTCCCAATAGAGTGACTCTTCAACCAAATGGAAACTCTAATCTTGATAAGCTCACAAAGCTGCAGGGAGTTAGGTTGAGCACTATTAAACACACAGTCGTTCCTGAGCTTCCAAGTTGACCATAAAACAGCAAGTGGTAAGGCTTTCCATATTTGGAGTTCCTTCTTTCTGGTTTTAGTGCCACTCCACCAATCAAGTAAGGCCACCACAGAGCCTGGACATA